CACACACACACACACACGCACATAACACATACACACTCATGCACACACACGCACGCACATACGCTCACATACACACACACCCACACAGAGACACTCACAAACATACACGCACACTCACACACACACAATCACACACACACACACACACACACACACACACATGCGCGCGCGCGCGCGCGCACACACACACACACACTGTGACAGTCCCAACAACAACAACAACAACTTTAAGCCGGACATATGACTTGACATCCGCCCCTGTCTTAGTCTTAGTCTTAATTAGTACCGGTAATCTGATACGCACCCAGAGCCCAGAGCTGGCCTTCCAGTGATGCTTTTGACAGGCAGTCATTGTTGTTGAAACATGGCTGAACGTACGAAGGACGAGAGCTTTGCGACAAAACGGGTTATATCCCAAAAGAACGGGTTGAAAAGGACGTAGAAAAAGGCTAATAAATAATAGAGTCATGTAATATTTCTATTTCGTTAGCGTTTTGCGTCATCATTTTTATTCCACCGTCGTCTAAACGTAAATAAATTCCGTGGGTTTTCTCCGTTTCCAGATTTAGCAATTATTTTAGTAAACGTATCATTGGACATCTTACTATAATAATCGTTCTAAAGTTTCGCTCTATTTAGTTCGTTTTCTCTCTCGTTTTTAATCTAATTGAGAAAAAAAAAAGATAATAAAATTACTGGTCCCCATGACATGATTGGTCGCCGAGTTCTCTGGTGTGGTTTAAAATTACTCTTTCTATCCAACCGAACATCAGCAAACGTTCTTCTTAATTTCTCATCTTTTTCTTTATAACGCTTCTAATCTTCGTCACTTATATCATGTGGCCCATATATGCGTTGCAAGTGTCGTAAAACTTTTACTAAAACTCAAAAGTAAAAATGTCGTGTGACACAATTCATGTTTTCCCATTTAAAGAATAAAGATTCTATTCGTGGCCTGGAGTCTAGCTAAAAGTACCCAGTCAGGGAGAAAGTAGGCGAATGCTGCAGATAAGCTGTTTTGTCATAAAACACTTGGTGTGGTCATGGTGTGTTCTGCCATCACACATCACAAGGACAAAAAAGTGTGAAGAATTATATTATTGCTGAGTGTGTGTATGTGTAGGGGTGGGTTGTACGCAAACACTCCCTTTCTTTCAGCTCATCTC